GGGGGGGGGAGTGTGACGAGCGTCCCGAGCTCACATCAGCGTTGCCCTGGAAACGGACGAGGAACACCTGCACACGCTCATCACGGGCTGATTGGTCACAGCTGAGAGTCATCAGCCCACGGCCAGATAAGCCGCGTGAGGCCCGAGGAAAGGGAGAAGAGATGCTCTCCCAGCAGCTGAAGTCTAACGTGTTGTCTCCTTTACATTCCAGAAACCAGCCCGTGACCAAGCAGCCCACACACGAGCGCCGCACGGACTCACCGACACTGGAACACGCTCACGGAGAAGCACCGACTCACGCACGGAGAAGCCTCGACTCACCTCAGGACCCAGCGCACTCACTTGAGCACTTTCTCTGTGAATAAATCCACCCTCCGGGGCATTTATTTGAGCTCTCCTTGTCGCGTATTCCTTCCACCCCGTTACACTATGATCAGATGCTTTCTTAACTGCTGCTTTCTCACTACTGTCATTTTTGTGGTGTATTTGTTGAGAGGTAAGCGCATATTCACATATTCATCTAAACGCTGCTCTCAGCATTATCAGGATGTTCGCTAACAGTATACCGCTGCAAATTCTTCCGAACTTCTATTTTCCCCCTAAACAAAGAAAGACAACTTCACTCTGAGTATATCAAAGACTATAGATATACAAAGACGGTTCATTCCTTTTACTTATGAATGGGTGAAACTGCAACTAGTGTTGGGTCGTTTTTGAACGATTCGTTCATTTTGAACGAATCTTTAATGTGACTCGGGAAGTACATTTTAATTATATTTTGCTAAAATGAACGAAATGATCGAAATGACTCGAAAAAAGATTCGTTCATTTTGCTGAACGAGACTTAAAGGTCAGAGTCGGTAAAATGATCCGAACTTCCCATCATTAACTGCAACGCAGAATATGTCCCGCCTTCTAAACGAAAGAGCCAATCGCTGATTGGTAAAGTCATTGCGTCACTGCAGCTGCCGTTAGAAGCTAGCGATTATGACTGCACATACGCATTGACTGTTCTAGCCTGAGAAATATGTTTTTTTAACACTATTTGAGCATAAGGAACAACAATTATGGATTTTGTTGCTTCTGATGTGAAATATGTAATTTAATTGTGAGTTCAGCAAGCAGTTTTTGAGATTTCAGGATTCCCCCATTCATTTAGATAGGACTTGGTCTTGGATGCTCGAAATAGCTGCCCGAAGGCGTTGCAACTATGGCCACCGAGTGAAGAGACTTTTCTTTGAAATGGACTTTGGAGTATATCAGACAAATTGCATGCCAAAATTCATGTTGGTGTGAATAGGCCTTATGTGTCCACCAAGAAGAGTCGGTTTTTGGAACACAGCAGCAGAGTTTTATTGGATATGCACTCACCGATATGTCGAATATCTCCTCTGAGTCATCCAGCAGCAGGACTCTAATGGGCACCAGGCGTCCAGGTGGCATAGCAGGCGGTTTGTGTCCAGGCTCCAGGGTGCTAATCCCCAGAGTCTCTGGGGCCCCTAACCTCTGTCCCGCCAACGACATTTGGCCCTGTTCCACCATGGTCTTCCTCGCTCAGCCTGTACACAACAAACACACACACAAACGTCACACTCCGGCTAACACTGCGTGTGTATGATTCAGGTTTTGTCTGCGTTCTAGGGGCTAAATGTCCCACAAGGATAGTAATATGTACTTAATGAACATTTGCAAATGAAGAAGTTGTGTATTTACGCTGATGGTTCTTGACATGTCAATAATGTGAAGGTTAAAATTATAGTCTTTTTGGCCTGATGGTTTTGTGCTCTCCTCAGACAATGAACTTATTACACAGATCCAACTTCTCATATCTCTCCCTCTCTGTTCTCATCATTTTCACTGTTTATCACACATGCCAGAGCACTGATGTCATTACTTCTAAACCAAGGGTCGACGTGAGAAACAGAGGGGAGGAAAAGAGACAGGAAGAGAGAACGCGAGCAGAGTGACAGAGAGTGCAGTCAGAGGAAAATATGGAATAACAAACACTGATCTCTGTGGATCAGATGACCATATGTGACTTCCACTGCTATGTATCTAAGCGATCTTGAAAAGAACCTTCCAAACAGTCAATATTCAAGATATTCACTAGTTTGTGCTCATATATCCCTGTATAATAAATAAACACAAGGAAATAACTGCATTTTTGTCTTCCTGACAGTATTTTTTCTTTATATTTTTATCTAATAATTTGTGCCTGAGGCCAAATTACTGCCCAGAGAGGTCATAATAATTTATCTTAGGATAGACAATAAATAAATAGGTAAATTGTTACTTTATTAATAAAGTTACTTTCTCCACTGTTTGCATGTATACAAACAATTTCATTAATCTCTGTGATTTTTATAGATTTAAATGAATCAAGGTGCATTGTAAAAATAGACCTCTGATATAAACGGGGCTGTTTAGTTTATAAGCTACTATTCATAAAACACATAGGAGAGAAGCAATAAAGCGTAGATCTGCTCTCAGAGGTTATCCAGAGGGGGAGGGGGAAAGATCAGAGCAGTGCCAGCAAAAACCAAACCCACCATGCGAAACACAGCCAATGCTTTGCCAGTACTGTTTAAAAAATTCCATTCATTCAGTAATGCCCAAAAAAGCACTGGAAAAATCATCTGCACTGATGCTAATGCAAGTACATCTTCAGACAAGGGTGTCTTTTGTTTGGCTGGGAAATGAAGCTGCCACATGCACAACACATCAAGATATATAAAATTATGATTTTACACTCTAAAAAATGCTGGTAACAACCCAGTGCTGGGTAAAATAGGGACAAACCCAGCAATTGGGCTGTTTTGACCCAGCGGTTGGGTTAAATGTTTAACCCAACCTTCTGGGTAGTAACCCAACCGCTGGGTCAAACTTTGACCCAAATTTTTTTAGAGTGAGACTGCTTTTTCGTGGTCTTTCAACATTAAAATGAATTACACGTGGAAGGTTTCAGAATGGCTCGTGAAGCGCTTTATTCTTTCAGTGCGCGTTCTGGTCGCGTCGCGTCGCGTCGAGGCGGCACGGCACCACAAATCAAGTCGAGCTTTATTGACTTGACTCACCTCACAGCGTTTAGTCAGGTGCAATAAAATGAATGAAAATCATTTAAATTCTAAATTGACTTTCAATTGTCTATTTTAAAACAGTGAAATAATGTTACCAAATAATGTTGAATATGCCACTGGTAACCACGAGTTGGCTTTGATTTAACGACCAGACGTTATTTAAACAATTAGGCTGTTCATAACACTCAATGCACACATATCATATTTATACGCTCATTTGGCTTCAGACTGAATGGGGAAATAGAAAATAGAAATGGAGCGTCCGTCGCGCGCTTGCAGTGAAAACAGCGCCGGTCGCGTCGCGTCGTACGCGTACAGGCGATGTAAACTGAACAAAGCGCAGAACAGGTCTATTGGCGTCTAATGTGAAGGTCCTTAGAGGAACACATTATTTCGATATGCCTTTTGCTCTGGGCTTCATCAAGTGAATGGACTCATAATACAGCCTATAGCAGAACGCGTGTCGTTGCATAATAGAAATATAACGGGACGGACCTTCAGCGATGTCACGGCAGTCCTCAGGCTCAAATCTGTGGCTAGATTTACCCCTTAATCTCTTCCAAGCACAGAGCACTGTGAAAGAGAAGATGAATCCACACGCTTACCCCGATTATAAATCCACTGTGTACAAGTGTGCGTTTGTCCACGAATGCACCGAGCGCGACGGTGATGCTGGCCGCCCGGAGCCGCTTCAGATGCAGGTTGTCGTGGAGCATATGAGCGTCCTCGCAGTCGCCATGTCGGCCGGTGGAGAGACGGGATTACATTGACTGAGCACAGCACAGATCCAGCCACACAACGAGCTTTGCGTTCATATGCTGCCATCTGCAGAGTGAAGCACCATAACGCAGTGTCTTACAGTGAGCTACAGTAGCCAAAGGAGCCTATATGAATTACATCAGCCAGTTCTACAGCCAAATTAGTCAGTTTCTGCTCTTGTTAAAAAGTACATTCAGCAGTACACCTGCACAATATTTCAAAGACAATAGAAGTGATTATGAAATTACATAAAATGTACTTAAGTGGGCCAAAAATATTTTTTTCAGCAAAATTCAACAGTAAAGCAATTATCAAATAACTGTTTTGACCAACAAATATTGTACTGTATCAAATTTAAAGCCATACAAAATGTGGTATGATTGTGTGACATTAAAATACTCTTTAAAATCTTCTTTTAAAATGAGCGGAATTCTCGTTATTTCAAAACATAGTTCGCCCCAAAATTAAAAATGTACTTACCCTTTACTCACCAAGATGTAGATGAGTTTGTTTCTTCATCAGAACAGATTTGGAGAAATGTAGCGTTACATCACTTGCTCAGCAATGGATCCTCTGCAGTGAATGGGTGCCGTCAGAATGAGAGTCCAAACAGCTGATAAAAACATCACAATAATCCACAAGTAATCCACACCACTCCAGTCCATCAGTTAATGTCTTGTGAAGTTAAAAGCTGTGGGGTTTGTAAGAAACAAATCCATCAAGACATTTTTAACTTCAAGCCATCACTTCTGGCTGAAATACGAGTCCACAGTCTTTATTTCACAAGACATTAACCGATGGAGTGGTGTGGTGTGGATTACTTGTGGATGATTGTGATGTTTTTATCAGCTGTTTGGACTCTCATTCTGACGGCACCCATTCACTGCAGAGGATCCATTGCTGAGCAAGTGATGTAATGCTACATGTTTATACAAATCCGTTCAGATGAAGAGACAAACTCATCGATATCTTGGAAAATGGTGAGTACATTTTTAGCAAATTTTCATTTTGGAGAACTATTCTTTTAAACTCATTTAAACTGTTAAAGGGGTCATATGATGCTGCTAAAAAGAACATTATTCTGATCTCAAGAGACGCTAGTGCGTCTCTTGAGATCAGGGGAGTGAGGGTTACCTGCACAGCACCTACTCGCTGGCCTCCATTACACTCACCCCCCTAGGCCTCACTCCCATCCGGGTCACGGCACCAATGTAACCCCTCTCTCCCGGGTCCTCTCCGCCACACCTCGTTCTTGTTCCGAGTGGGTCTCGGACCCGGGTCTCCGGCATGGGAGGCGGACGCACTAACAAGGAGGCTCCATTACATATACAGTATCTGCCATATGACAAGCAGCTATCCTGATGGATTTGATAGATGGTGTGTGTCCTTATCTTCCCCCACTAACTATTTTTGGCCAACCAAATCCCTGCAAATTAGAGTGTGAAATTGGCAGTATATGTTGCCATGCGGTTGCCATGACACCCAGGCCAGCAATAAGTCTCATGCTGATGTCTGAATCTCCCCCTCACTGCTCTGCTCTTACATCCTCTGTCCATTTCCCATGTCCTCTCTTGGCTGCTTTTCCCTGCATTCCTTTGTCCAGTGAGTGGGCAGAGAGTTCAGGTCCGCCAGAAAATATTACTCCATATAACAGCAGCTTACTGTTCACATAGACTTTCCTGTTTATGTATGTGTACCGAATTATACTATGTACTCAACCAAAAAAAAGCTGTACACTACCTGCTACATTTTAGTATACAGAGCATGCTGTATATTTTATGGTACACTACCAGTCAAAAGTTTGGAATAATTGGGAAAATGTTTTTGAAAGAAGTCTCTTATGCTCACCAAGGATGCATTTATTTGATGATCTTGTGAAATATTACAGTTTAAATTAACTGTTGTCTATTTTAATGCATTTTTTTAATGTAATTTCGTTCTGTCTTGGCAAAGCTGAATTTTCAGCATCATTACTCCAGTCTTCAGTGTCACATGATCCTTCAGAAATCATTCTAATTTGCTGCTCAATTATCAATTATGGTTCTTATTATTATCAGTGCTGAAATTAGGTTTTGCTGCTTAATACTTTTGTGGAATATTTCTGTCTTTACTGCATTTTTGATCAAACAAATGCAGCACTGTGGTGAGCATAAGAGGCTTTAAACATTAAAAATCTGAATTATTCCCGACTTTTGACTAGTAGTGTATATATACTACAAAAGTATGCATGATGCAATGATATATCTTGAGCTTTAGTATGCTACAATTTTGTCACATAACCTCACTATACTATACAAAATTATTTTGTAATTATTTACTAAATAATATGTAAGAAACAAACATTATTGCAGTTTATTTGCGCTCAAATACATACATAAATTGTAATCAATGCATTTGAATAGAAATGCCCAAGTAATATGCACTTTTTATGTACTTTGTTTTATCATATAATATGTTGATACAAAAAAAAACCATAAATACAAGTAAAAATGTAGGCTGCACAGTCTGGTAATAGCTTCTACACATGCCTTCTGATATTAGATTTCTGTTATTATCTTTAAACTAAAACCATTAAAAATGTTACTTGAAACAAAATAACCATGAACTGAAATTATATATATATATATATATATGTGTGTGTATATATATATATATATATATATATATATATGTGTGTGTGTGTGTATATGTGTATATATATATAAAACTTTTATTAAAGTAAAATAAATAAATCAACTAGCTGCCAAAGCAACATTTCTCATTTTCATTTTACTTCAAGTATTAAAATAACTAAAACTAAATAAACACCATTAAAAAAATTATAAAATCTATATAAACATAAAAAAACGAATAAAAATTACAAACACAACAAAATTATGAAAACATTAACTAATTAAATAAATAAAAACAGAACATATACTTTTAATGTTTTTTCAGAAAATATAAATCTAATTCAAAATATTAAAAAACAAACTATATATCAGTGATACTCCAATAACACTGCCGTTACAGATCCTATGGTAGAAGTCACAAATAATTTAACTAAACTCATTTCCCCTGTGTGTCAGCCAGCTCCATGCAAAATAAAACAGCTTTTATTGAACTACTGATGTGACTGGAGACTTCATCTCAGAAGCTCTATTCGTGTCTTCATGTGTAAAACTTTTATGATGATAGAAAAACCTCTACGGCACCTTAAAGCCAGTTTAGATGGAAAGCATCTGTTAAATGTTACGCAACTAACTTGTATCTCTCACAACTAAATAGTTTTAACGGCCATCAAATAAACAAAACCTGCCTGATGGAAAACAGAGCACGTCGCGTGTATGTAGCTATTCAAACAAACTGCAGGATGTGCTTTTGTTCTTCACCGTAACATGTTCTGGTCAAACATTTCTCATTTATAAAGCACCATGTGTTTGGACAGTGTGCGTGTAGAGGTTATAAAACATGGAAAAAACACAGAAACGGCACTGCAGTGTCAGATGCACTTTATTTGGGTGCCAAACAGAACAAAAAAAAAAGTGTCACCATTCAGTCATTCAGAAGAGTTGAGCACAGGTCCACATAAAAAAATATAAAATCAATACTGACTCAGAGCTCTCTATTCAAACACACACACTCGCACACCTCCATAATCTCTATATGTTCAGCCTTGAGATCGAACCTCAAGCCCAGCCAAGAAGAGGATACCAACAAAAACTGGCAACCTCTGTACAAATGCATCCACAGTCAACCAACAGCCATCATCGTCAGCATCAATGACCCACACGAGCATGGCAGAATACTGAGAACGAGTGCAGAAAGGGGCTGAAGAGATGCGTGAGAAAGAGAGTGATAAACCAGAGAGAGACAGAAAAAGAGACGAGTCCTACAGAGCCATACGAGATCCTAAATGAACAGATCTTCTGTGTGTCCAGATGTGGAGGGCGATACGTCCCTGTCCCGCATGAGCAGTCCAATCAGAGACAGGAGCTTCTGCTGCATTCCATTCATTTGGAAAAGTGCAATAGAAAGTCTCTTGACACTTGGAAAAATACAACTGAGGGTTCCTTCCTGATGCAGACACGGTGGAAGTCGGAGAGATTTACACTCAACATTTAAGCAAATAAAATACATCAAGGAGTCAAAAGGTCCAACATTGCATGATGCAACATGTTTAGCAAACATATAAAACAAGATAAATGATTCTCTCTGCTGACACACCAGTAGAATTGCTGTTAGTGTTGTAAAGCACAGCATCCCCAATTTGGTTGCTAAGAGTTTTTTGTTCACAATGGTTCCACTGCAAAGCGAATGGTAGAGTTGCCATTCTGTTTCCTGAAGTCATCTTCTGAATGCCAGGAAACATCTGACTTTGAACGGAAGCAGCATAAAGACAAGAACTTGTTCCAAAACCTACTGAGCTGCCTTACTGTTTAGCTGGAACTTTCTATGCAGACTGATTTTGTGGACTGAACAGTTTTTCCAGATAAAAATTGTGATTGCAGTGTACATTTCATATTGTCAATTTCATAAAACTCATAGTGATTATATCAATATGACTATGAAATAAGTTTTATTATTGTTAATATGGTTATTATTACAATTAAACATTAAAACACGAAATTGATTACTATAGTAAATAATGCTGTTTTTATGGAAGCCCGTTTCCGCCACTGAATAAAAAATAAAAAAAGGTAATTGCGAGTTTATATCTCGCAATTCTGACTTTATAACACACAATTGCAAGTTATAAAGTCAGAATTGCGTGATATAACGTTTTTTCTCGCAATTGTGAGTTTATATCTTGCAATTCTGACTTTATAACACACAATTGCGTGTCAGAATTGCGTGATATAACGTTTTTTCTCGCAATTGTGAGTTTATATCTCACAATTCTGACTTTATAACACACAATTGCAAGTTATAAAGTCAGAATTGCGTGATATAACGTTTTTTTCTCGCAATTGCGAGTTTATATCTCGCAATTCTGACTTTATAACACACAATTGCAAGTTATAAAGTCAGAATTGCGTGATATAACGTTTTTTCTCGCAATTGAGAGTTTATATCTCACAATTCTGACTTTATAACACACAATTGCGTGTCAGAATTGTGAGATAAAAAGTCTCAATTACCTCGTTTTATTTTTTATTCAGTGGCGGAAACGGGCTTCCATATCCATATGGTTTACTGTAAAATAAAATTAAATAAAATAATAAACCATTATCAAACATTAACCCATCAAACTTTTACTTTGGTGGAAAACTGCAGAGAGCCCCTTAAATCAAAAGGGACAAATCTTAATTTTTATGGTATACTGCAGTGTTTATTTTATGATTTACCTGTCTGCAGGATTACTTTTTTTATTTAATTTAAAGCAACCTGTCAATCGCAAGCGACTGCAGCAATTAGCAAACGACAACGATCCAATCAATTCCCAAAGAACATAATCAAGCCCCGCCCAAACTTTTTTCTTGTTTGAGAAGTAACAAAGATGGTCAGAACTTCCATTTCATGCTGACTTTAAAGCTTCTCCTTTGTTGACTGGAGCAGGTTCATAAATGTTTTATAAGCGACTAAAAACACTCATCATAACTTCACTCTGAAATGTGCAATGTATATTTATGTAATTAAACTGCAGCCTTTGTGATTTGACAACTGCACAAAACCATATCACGATTCTGAGTTCATTTTGATGAATCGTTCAGCCCTACTGTGCATCACACAAACACTGCTGCTTATGTGAAGTGCATACACTTGGATTTGGAGAGTTTGACATTAGCATGTCGCTAAGCTAACAGCATGATACGCTACATGTGTGTGCAATGCATACGAATGCATACAACACGCACATATTACAAAAAAGAGATTTTACTATTTTCAGCAAAATATGAGTGAAATGAAATCCAAGAATATTTAGAATCTCGTCCACCATCTTGGATGCATTTTTCATAGAGCTCACCGCAATGCATTCTGGGAATGCATAAGGAACTTAGTTTGGGCTTTAATTCTGTCTAGTTAGGCAGTTAACTAGGTTTTGGAACAAAGCTGTCAGTCACCTGACTGTTTTTCTACCTCTATATGTGTCAGAAAAGAAATTGATGAGAAAATGAAGATTTTGAGGGATTTATTCCCAAATAAATGGGCATTTATAAACTCTTCATTAAATGATTATATGGCTATATCAAGCATATGGCTAAGAACCCTCTTATTTTCTCTCTCTCGCTCTCTGACCTGGTGACAAATTCAGATAAAGTCATCAATACCATAAGACCAAGAACGTAAATGTCCAACTCATTGCCACTGCAGGATCCTGCTCAAACAGGAAACGTGAAACCTAAGGCAAGTGCTCTTCCTGTGGTTGAGTCAGTCAGGATTTAAAGTGACAAGAAAAAAAAAAAAATGCTCAGAGTTACTGTCAGTCTGCAGATACAGCATGATGGAAAACCGTGGACACTAGAAGGTCTATTAAAGCTACTGTAATGTGAGTTCTCTGAGTGTGTGTGTGTGTGTGTGTGTGTTGGGGGGTTATTGTATATTGCAGGAGGAGCAGCACGGATCATCTTTATCTGGCTGTGCCGCATAGTCCATCTGCCGTACGATCTCGGCAAAGAGTTCATCCACCATGGTCTTGCTCTTGGCAGACGTCTCGATGAATGGACAGCCCCACTCCTCGGCCAGCGCCTGTCCCTCCCTCACAGACACCTCTCGCTCGCCCTCCAGATCCACCTTATTCCCCACCAGGATCACAGGGACCTTCTCATACCTGAAAACACATGTACAGTTTCTCTCAGAACAATCAAACCGCATTTATGCAAACCAATTCTTGTGAACAAGAAGTAGACATTAGCATCCTTTTAAAGAGTACTTATTTAAAGAAATGATATACTTTAAAATAACTTCTTTAGTTTAAAGCGTGATAGATGGTTTGCCAATGATTTGAAATGTACATTAAAGTAAAGCCCTTAGGTGTGTCATGAAAGTTTCCTTAATTTCATTAATATATTATCTGCAATATATCGTTTTAAAAAATATACTTTTATTTGAAGTACACTAGTTGAAGTTTATTTGAAGTACACTTTATTTGAAGTGCACAGTGCAAGGGCATTTACTTTAGGATGCATCCCAGTAGCTTAAAGTCTACATGAAACACATTCAACATGCTTTTAACTTCCATGTGTTATGTATGTATGAGTGAAACAATATTTGAAAGGAAATTGATTTTATCTTGATTTTATCCATCAGGATTTGAATGGCTCATGGATATGTCAGAGTATGATATTACTGTACTAGGAAATATCATTTTTGTACACATGCACAACAAAATCATTTTAAAGAAGGAAAAATTATATAACATTTTACTTGTTTACCATATTGCCTGTCTTCATAAAATGTGTGTCTTTAATCATTTTATTTTCAAATACACACCATCATTCAAAATTGTAGGGCAAGTAAGATTTTTTTTTAAAGAAATTGATACTGTTAAGCCTCGTACACATCGGGACGATTATCGCGTGCGCTTATCGCCGACGTTTTTCGACGCGTCTTTTGTGTTCATACCCAAGCGCTTTTCGCAGGCGATGAGCCGAGTGAACGTGCAAATTCACTCCCTGACATTAGATGGCGCTTAATGAAAAACAGAAATACCCCGGTACACATCGAATCCTATTTAATCTGCAATTCCTCTCCATAACAACTCCCTCTTATCGAGATTTTTGTAGTCGCTGTCGCGTTTGTCTACTTACTTCCTCTTCGTCGTTAGGTCGCTCGGCAAAATCGTTTTGTGCTTGGGCGCCACAAAGTCGTGTTTTACTGTAACTTCAGCAGATCCAGGCACGTGAACAAAAGCGGCAATCTCATTAGTCGGCCAGTTTTTAACACGGCGCGTCAAACCAAAAAAACGAGCCCGAGGCGTTTTTAAAAAAATTACGCTTTTACACCTCGCGTTTTGCCAAGTAGGTATAACTGCAGACCGGAGATCTCCAAAATGGTGCGTGAACTCCAAAAGTGGGCAGAACCTCCAAAATGGGGTGGAGTCTCCTCGCGCAAATACTTTCACCATTGGCTCTGGCTCCAGCCAATTGTTATTGACTTACATTTCAAAATAAAACTTTATAAATGTAACATTGTTTCTAGTTCATCTAAAATAAAATATGCTATATAAGTAAATATGGGCTGCAGTTATACCCTTCTCCGTTTTGCGCGTCGGTGTGCACACTCACATTGGCGCCCTTTGTTTAGTCACGAGGCGTTAAACGTCGGCGATAATCGCGCGCGATATTCGTCCCGGTGTGAACAAGCCTTTATTCAGCAAGGATGCATTAAATTGATCAAAAGTGACAAAAATATGAAGCAGCACAACTGTTTTCAGTATTGATAATCAGAAATGTTTCTTGAGCACCAAATCAGCATATTAGCATGATTTCTGAAGGATCATGTGACACTGAAGACTGGAGTAATGATGCTGAAAATTCAGCTTTGCATCACAGGAATAAATTACATCTTACAATATATTAACATAGAAAGCAGTTATTTTAAATTGTAATAATATATTACTGTTTTCACTGTATTATTTTAACAAATGTAGCCTTGATAACAAAAGAGACATTAAGAACATTAAAAACAAAAGACTTATTGACTCCAAGGTTTCAAACAGTTGTGTAATCGACTATATTCACAATATAGCCTATCATGGCCTCACCTTTTTAATTATCTCAACTGTATCAAAATGGATCGCTGTGATTATACTATTTTCTCACGGCAGACACACAATACATCCTGCACCTCTGTCTGAATTCTCACAGTGCAGTCTTCCTCTAGGCGAAAGACAACCACTAATCATGGCCAAGGGAGGATGAGGAGGGTGGGGATACTGAAGCCACGCCCCCTGCAAACACACCCTGTTATTAACCAACCACAAATGACATCACCATTTCAAAGTTCTTCCAGAAGGACAGTGTGCTGTCACAATTTGTGGGTCATGAACATAGACTGTATAAAAACATGGACGTAGTGTCCGTGACGTCACCCGTAGATTTCCGAAGAGCGTTTTTGAAGCTCAAAAGTGGGCGGAGGCGGCCGTCGCCATCTTGGCAGCTCCCGGATAATCGAAAATGGGCAAAAAGGCGGAAGCTTAATATAATTTAAACTGATGAGTTATAAAAAAATTCACCCCCTCGAGTCACAGTTGTCATCAAGGGCAAAATTAGCTATATAGACCAAAATAATTTTTTGAACCAGGCTGTAAACATGTTTTTTTTCTGCTGTAAAGTTGGGCATTTTAACATGGGGAGTCTATGGGATTGACTCCCTTTTGCAGCCAGCCTCTAGCGGCCAGTTGATGAATTACAGTTTAAGTCACTTCCTTGTTGGCTTCACCAGAGAGAGGGGAGGTTGCCGCTTGGTCATGAACCAAAAATGGGTCACATGTCTGTACGGTACCATTTTAGTAACATTTAGTGTTGCTTGACTGCAAAACTGGCCACCACAATGCTTGGGTGTTTTGGTCAGTATCAAGGGGGTTGCTATGTGGTTCCTACGGTTATATCTGGCCCAAGTCAAAAATTCCAACCTCTGGTCTCTAAATATCATGCTGGTTTTATCATCCACGAGCTGCATTATCTGAAGTATCACTCAAGTTTGTAGTTCCTGCGGGATGAGTTACATGCTGTGGTTGGTTGAAATCCCTAACCATGGATAACCTAACAGTACAAAAATGCAGATTTGAACAGTAAAAGAGTGTCAAACTTTATTGGTTACCAATATACTGGTATTACCGTATTGGCCCGAATATAAGACGACCCTGATTATAAGACGACCCCCCCCTTTTTCCAGATGTACCTTTTGTATATATGGTGAAAAACTGTAATTAATCTAACAGCAATCAAATCAACAAAAGAGCAACAATATGTGAGTGCTGTGACAAGTCCCAGTTAGTCGAAAAGTATACATAGAATTTTTTTTTTTTTAAATAAATAGAAAAAAATGTATAGAATAGGAATAGAAGGTGCTAGTATTAATTTAGCCATTCTTCTTAGCGTATTCGTATCAGTGGTTTAGTTACATCTTATGTTGTTAAATTACTGTTTATTGCATTGTTATTATCATGCGATTTTTTACAGTATGAATATGAGCAATAATAACAGTTACACTTGCTATTAGAATCACCTGTTTTAGTCATTCATTTCTGTAAATGGCACTAAACCCTTCTCTGCTCTTTGACTACCTGCGTCTCATTCATCCTTCAACAAGAACAAACAGCGCTGTGACAGACGTCTCTTACTCCCACGATCTCCTCCTCATTATGCATCGCTTTTACTGTGTGAAATATTTATGCCATTCAATTATTCAATATTTTCTGAATGCAGAAACATCCTTCTGCGTGAGAGTGAAGATCTAGATTATTTGCGTGGGAGGAGATGTTGTTTGCAGGGCTGTATATGTATTTCTGGTTCAGAGTGACTGTGAGGTTAGTGGGAGTTACACCACAGTTTAGGGCTGAGTTACAAACTGATACGAAGGATAAAAGTTGTTTTTTTTCCACCCCAATTATTTTGCTTATTATAATCTTTATTTCACCAACTGTCCCTAATAAGTAAAGCTCCTAATGGAGATGGATTGCTCCTGCATTTTATTTGTGAGCCAATCCTAAAGCATACTAATGGAATCCAGAAAGAATCTAAGGATCTAATATGAAAATTCCTGTTTTTCAGTGGGATCTTAATAGATCCTTAGGGAATTCTTAAATGATTAGAATATGATCGAATTCTATTAGCAATTTTTTGTGCCACTTGTTGCTTACATTTTATTTTCAATGGCACTGAATGCAGTCAAACAAGCTCTGATTTAAAAGCCCCATGAAAAAGTCTCATTTGTATCTAGTCTGTATTTTCTGTATAATACTCAGGAAGTCTTGAATAACAAAAGAATTGTTTTTAAGAACAAGTTACAACTGCTGTAATACATCCCAACAATTTATAAACTTCCACATTTGCTTTCCCGAAAGCACTAACTCTCCTCCTACAGGCCAAAAACCAACCTCAAATTATAAAAACCAAGGACAAAACTTTTTACTTCTAGTATCTAAACATTAAAGATAAAACATGTTTGTAAAATGCATTTATAAAAAAAAACACACAAAATAAAGTTATCAAATTGCATTTCAGACATAAAAGAAAAAATGTTTGCAATTTTTTGAACATGCCCACAACAAAGTGAATTTCCTATTTTTGAAAGATAGACAGATAGATAGAAAGATAGATAAAAAGATAATTTCAGGGTGTTTTGAATGCTCAAATGATTTTGATTAATTCAAGCCTTCCAGATCTCTAAATTACAGCTACTTGCAATTGCACTTGACTAGAAACCAGAAACTATGATTTTAATAATGATAATAATAATTATTCTATTTTAATAATTATTTTATGGACTACTTTTATTGCTATGGTGGTATAAGGGGAGGGATATTCAGACATGAATACATGAATAAATGCATACACACACACAAATATATATATATATATATATATAAACTCTGAAGCCTCCAAATGCAAGTTTTTCCCTCCTGGGAAAATGCTCTTAATATATATATATTTATATAATATAGGAAATATTCACTTTATTGTTTTGGGCGTGTTAAAAAAAAAAAAAAAGTTAAATGTTTTTTATGTGTGAAATGCAATTTGATCACTTTATTTTGTGTGGGTTTTTTTCCCTATAAATGCATTTTACAAATGTTTATGAAGAGCATTTTCCCAGGAGTCATTCTATCTGTTGTGGGCCTGTTCAAAGAATTGCAGAGAGAAAGAAAGAAAGAAAGAAAGAAACTTTGACATTTGGAAGCTTCAAAGCTCATATATATGGACTAAAAGCCACAAGACCGCTGTTTTAATTTCATTAAAGTCTTCACTATGTTTCCTAAATACATGAGAGCAGCGTTTGAACTGTGGATCAGGTTTAGAGTAGCAATGAAGAGCATCGCATCACTTGAGCATGAATCGTTCATGCAGACAGCAGTGTTTGAACACTGGATGCGGCGCAACAGGCCTGTAGCAGAGGCCCCGCTGCACTCACGGGCCAGTCCTGAGCACAGATGCGTTCAGACTATGCTCCTCGTATGCAAACACATGTCATCATTCGCAAAGCCCCGGCTCGGTCATAGGTCTCATCTCACCTCTTGACTCGGATGATCTGGTCTCTCATGGGCTTGATGTCCTGGAAGCTCTGCTGGTTCACCAGACTGTAGACCAGAATGAAGCCCTAGTACATCAAATCAGCACTGCACAAATCCTTACACTCATCACCAGCTCCCTCAATACACACTGTATGCCACTTTCTGATTCTTTTACGTCATGACGTAATTAGGTCATCATCTGCTAGTTTCTTGAAACAGTGTGGCCTTTTTTTATATTTCTATTTATGAGGTTTAGTTTGATGATTCTATTTATGAGTAGGCCCACTATGGAAGATGTTTCCGCCACAGAATCAATAATTAAAACGTAATTTATTATTAAATTATGTTCGTCCTTTTTGTGTGTTTTTCCTCGTTTGTTTCATGTGAAATTTTCTGTAGATGATCCTTAATTTTGTCCATTTCTGTTGCGAACCCGTTGTTTCAAGCAGTTCGTTCGAAGGAATCAGTTCAAGAATGATTCACTGATTCTTTTACGTCATGACGTAATTAGGTCATCATCTGCTAGTTTCTTGAAACAGTGTGGCCTTTTTTTATATTTCTATTTATGAGGTTTAGTTTGATGATTCTATTTATGAGTAGGCCTACTATGGAAGTTGTTTCCGCCACAGAATCAATAATTAAAAACGTAATTTTTTCCCCCACAACCCAGAATTGTGAGATATAAACTCAAAACTGTAAGCTATATACTCTGAATTCTGACTCTCGCAACAAAATACAATGCAATTCTGAGCTTATTTCTTATAATTCAACAAAAAGTCAGAATTGGGAGAAAAAAAGCTAATATTGTGAAATAAAAAAATGTGGCAGAAACATTGCTTTCGCTCAACATGCTTATCAATTGTTCTTGTTTTATCTAGCTAAACTATTTGTTTTGTGCCTTTATTATTAAAACATATTTACAATTGTATTTATTCTAATTTATCTTATTTATTCAGCTTATGTTATTATTAAATTAAATTATTATTAATTATTATTATTAAATTATGTTCGTCCTTTTTGTGTGTTTTTCCTCTTGTTTGTTTCATGTGAAATTTTCTGTAGATGATCCTTAATTTTGTCCATTTCTGTTTCTTATAGTATTATGGGTAACAGTATGGGTACGTTACAATAACTCAATAGGCCTATAACCTTTTTCAGTCTTATTAATTCATATACTTCATGCATCCCCGTTGCGTTTAATGCCGCCATGATTGTAATGTACATTAAACAATACAAACATTCACTTCATGCTGAAAAGGTTCAATGAGTCGGAGTTGTTGACTCGAAAACCGCTTGAATTGATTCAGTCCAATGTGTAAATCGCTCCCTGTTGTGAAACGGTTTAAATGATTCATTTAAAAGATCCGACTCAATAGGGCCATTCACTCACGAACCGAAAATTTTTTAACGCCTCTTCCATCTCGGCTTCCGTACAAAAGGCGAAGGCAGACGCTCTCGTCGGTTAACGGATCCTCGAGGTGTCCAATAGCCGGCCGGCTGCCTGAAACCGCGTCCACGACACCGAACAGTTTCCGCTTGAGTCAAAACTAGCCGGTTGTCATTGACGTAAGGAAATGTTTGGGCGACAAAAAAACCCTATAGCGGCGGCTGCGCGAGAATGCATGTTGTTGCTATGGAAACACGCAGTATTCACTCGGAAAAACATTAGTGACCCGGTTAGTGCTGTAGTTTTGTTTTTCATGGCATCTGTTTGCCTTCTGAACATATGTAATATAAAATGTCATTGTGTGTCCAATTATAATGATAATAAAATAGGGAACCATTTCAGTTTTTTATTGGGTTATTACCATAGACTGTATAAAAACAGGTTATTACATCCAAAAAAAACAAACAAACAGGTTATTCAAACTAAAAGTGCAAACACATGTGATCATGATCTCAGAGCATGGTGAGTTAAACAGTCAATAGTTCATTAGATTCAACATTTTCTTTATGAATGCTGTCAATTTATAATAGCATAGGAATAATGTGTATACCAAGTGTATAATGTACATTCATAAAATAAAGTAACGGACTGTTATTAGGCTAAGTATAAGTAAGTAGATACAAACGAGCTGGGCAATGTGCCACATCAGTTTTCCCAGCCGCCCCGGTGGCCAGTGAAACACTAAAACAATACAAACATACACTCAGAACCAAAAAAGCACAATACACCCAAAAACAACTGACAATAATTGAGAAGTCAGTGAACACAAACCAATTTTGGGAAAATTGGAACAATCTGAAAAAAACTGATCATGAAGAATTGGCAATACAAAATGGAGAAATATGGGAAAGTCATTTCCAAACATTGTTTAATAAAGTACAAACAGACACAAACTGTAAGCAAAATCAAACAATCAACAGTGAGACACAAAACAATACAAACATACACTCAGAACCAAAAAAGCACAATACACCCAAAAACAACTGACAATAATTGAGAAGTCGGTGAACGCAAACCAATTTTGGGAAAATTGGAACAATCTGAAAAAAACTGATCATGAAGAACTGGCAATACAAAATGGAGAAATATGGGAAAGTAATTTCCAAACATTGTTTAATGAAGTACAAACAGACACAAACTGTAAGCAAAATCAAACAATCAACCAACTGGAAAAACTAGAATTAGCAATCAAAGATAACCAAAACCCATTAGATTTCCCAATAACTGATAAAGAACTTAAAGAAAAAATCAAAAACCTCCAACTCAAAAAAGCATCTGGACCTGATGGGATATTAAACGAAATGATAAAACACACAAGCAGTAAATTCCAATTGGCCATTCTAAAACTATTCAATGTGCTTCTGAGTGTAGGTTACTTCCCTGACATCTGGAATCAAGGCTTGATAACACCAATCTTTAAAAACGGAGATAAATTTGATCCTAACAACTACAGAGGCATCTGTGTGAGCAGCAACCTGGGAAAGTTATTCTGTAGCATAATAAATGCTCGACTATTAGACTTCATCACCACACACAATGTACTGAGCAGAAGCCAAATCGGATTTTTACCAAATTACCGTACATCTGATCACATCTATACATTACATACTCTAATTGAAAAACATGTTAACCAAGATAAAGGTAAAATATATGCATGCTTTATTGACTTTAAAAAAGCTTTTGACTCAATTTGGCACCAAGGACTATTCTACAAACTTATTGAAAGTAGCATAGGAGGTAAAACCTATGACCTTATCAAACCAATGTACACTGAAAGTAAATGTGGCGTAAAAATCAGAACCAAGCGTAAGAGGTATCTTTCCCAAGAGCGTGGAGTGAGACAGGGCTGCTGCTTAAGCCCAATGTTATTTAACATCTACATCAATGAACTGGCGAGCAGTCTGGAGCGATCTGCATGTCTAATCCCTTATTTTATTTTTATTTCTAGTTTATATACTTACATTAGTAATTCATTTTGCACTACATGCTTAGTACTTTTTATATATTATTATTATTATTACTATTATTATTATTATTTTTCTTTCTGTTAATACATATGTGTACTATTTGTAAGCAGTCCAGCTGCAATTGCTTTGGCAATACAAATGTATAATTTTTGTCATGCCAATAAAGCACTCTTAAATTGAAATTGAAATTGAGAGAGAGAGAGAGAGAGCAGCTGCTGCAACACTGCTGCGGTCCGGCGTCCAACATCCACTAAACACACTGCAGTGTCTGTAGTCTGATGAGCAGAGCCTTTACAAACTGCCATCTGACGTTTCTCAAGTACAAATGAAATATAACATGTATTTGAACACAGTAGGAAAGATTTAGGCCTATTGTTAAATAGCTGCAGTTTTTCATTAAAGTACACAATGAGGTCTAAATGTCTGAGACCACATTGCAAATAGATTTTCCCATTTAAACCCAGAAATGAACAGTTTTTGGGATTTTGAAAAAAATATATATAAAAGTAATAATATAGTATTTGATATAGCTAATATTTGCACTTTTTCTAAATCACCAATTAAATATAAATACATTTTTTATATATTGAGTGCTGCTGCCATTAAAGCAAAAAAGTGCTTTTTTTTTAGAAATTGTAAAATTAATGGTATTTTGGATAATATAACATTATAATATAGTTAATAGAATTTTGTATAAAATTAGAAAAAATGCAAAACCGAAGCATTTTATTCAGCGGTCTCAGACTTTTAAATATTTCTAACTCAATATTGTTGACAATGAAAATTTTCATTCATGTGTATTATATTAGCAATGGGTCCGTATTCTGTGCTTTACTTTAAGATGATCTGTTGAAGAAAACAGAAAGAGAAAGATCATTTGCAGAGCTCATCCTCCTCCACTAATGCTTTAATAAAACATATTACAGACCAAAGCCAATGTGTCCTTTGTGAACATCACATGTACACAGAACATAAAAAATAGATACATAACATGGTGTCTGAAATCAAATTAACTATAATATTTATTAATAAAAGTTGTTAGCAGCAAGTCATTTGAACCATGATATTTAAAGGGTCATGAAACCCCAGACTACTTTTTCTGAGATTTTAGCAGATGTGTTTGTGTTGCACATCATAGAAGACAATGTTAGCATCCGATCATTTTAACTGTTGGAGAAAACTGGTTAATTTTAAGCTTTTTTGCTCTATTTTCATCTTCCGGGTTTAAAATCTACATCGTGTTGACGTCACAATGTGACGTGGCAATGGACTATAGTACATCGAT